TAATTCACCTACAAGATCTACATTACAGAGAACTAATATTATTTATGAATTTGCATGTCCCTTAAGGACCAATCTAAATTTGTAAATAATTATATTGGATATACTACATGTTTAACAAGAAGACTAACATTACACCTCTCTGACCACAGCTCAATTAGGTCACATTTAAATACACATGGAGATCTACCAAACTTCATCTGTAACATACTTGTTGATAATACACCTATAATAGCATCATCCACATGTACAAACACACAATAACATCAACTCTGAACACAGCCACAATGTACTGACCATGTTTGGAAAATAAAACGTTCTTATAACTCTAGATAACATTAATAAAAAAATCCATATATTCAGTTAAAAGTAAAATAAAATCATCCTTGATAAATAGCTAAAAGTATAACCAAAAATGCTTGGAAAACATTCAGACAATTTTATATAATTTATGTCCTGAAGAGAAAGAAAATTATGAACATATGAGAAGTTGTATAAAAAAAATTCAACCATTGCACTTTGTTAGTCATTTTCAATGAAACTTGCATAAAAGAGGGATTGCTGCCCAAATATACAACGTTATATATATATATATATATATATATCCTTGAGTGGTAGTTTGCTATGATTTGTCCAAAATTTTTCTTCTGACTATAAAAGTTAATGAAAGTGTTTCTTAAATATTTTTTTATCACCATAGGCAATGGAAATAAATTAAAAAGATTTTTCAAAAGTTTTTTTCTAAAGGTGGAGGTTTAATTGGAAGAACATGAAATTGAAAATTCGTAACCTGGAATAAATTCCATTCATTTTTTTTTTTTTTTTTTTCATTTTCACAATATAGACACCTGCAACGGTTAAAATCATTTTAACAAAGTTACTATCATGATGAAGAAATACTAAACAATTATTGATTGTAATAATGAAACAAAATCAATAGAAATGTTTCATATTTGGTGCAATTCAAAGAATTATTGATTGAAAGATAAAAATGATATGTAAATATCACTTTCTGTACATGCACGCACACACACACATATATATATATATGTGTGTGTGTGCCATATTCTGTCACGATAAAAGATCATGTATAAATATGAAATGATTGTCATTTCCTTAGAAAAGTGTTTGATATTTTCTGTTTCTAAATCTGAAGATATTTTAATCAATCAAAACTGATTGTTTTCAGCTAATGAGGACAAATATTTTGTTTTGTATTTTCCTCTTTTAATTCTAAAGTCTGTTGCATTTGATAGCCTCTATACCAAGCATGGGCAACTTTTTTCGATCAGTGGGTCACACTACTAAAAAAACTTTATTTTTCATGAAAAGATACCACAGCTATTTTCGCTTCAAAAGACCATGAGCATATGCATATGCCTTAAAAATGGAAGAATCAATTTATTTTTCTTGGGAGGAAAGATTCCTTCTATAAAAAAAAAAAACTACTAATGTCTTGGTATATTATCACTGATTATCACTAATCTATTAATTTCCCTGTACAAAAATCTATTTGCAAAAGAAGTAACATATATACTTGTCTTATGTGACTTTTGAAGACCTAAACTAATTAGACTACAGTAAATGGATATATAGTTTGGTCAATTGTGTAGCCAGAGTCAGCAGTACATATGCTAATTTTATATGTTGCGTATGATACAAGCCCCTTAAAATTAGCTTTGAAATTAGATCTTCAAAAGTTGCTTGATACACAAGTATATACAGTATATTTATTCTCTAGGTGAAAATAATTATCACTGACGTTTCCTGTGCCTGAAGCAAAAGATGTTTACACTTATGATCTTCCTTAGTGAAAATCGCCAGTGGTTTAAAATGCTGACAACATTACCTTCAAGGAAAAGTTACAAAATTCAAGAAACGTTGTATTTAATCGTTGTTTATGTATGTTGTTATGTATGAGAGAGTGTGTGTGTGAGCAAGTGAGAATGAAAGGAAACAGACATATTAATAAATGTTATTTTCCTAATGAAATTAGGCAGGCCATTCAGAAAGCCAATCAGGTTACATCTGGCCAATCGGCTGTTGTTTGCCTATGACTGCTCTCTATACTGATTCTTATAGTCTAGCATCCTCATCTTTGTTGTGTTTATCATAAATCAATTGCTGTGCAAACTTAGTTTCATTTGAGACTATCATATACAACAACCTCTATAAACTGATTTATACAACCTAGCATCCTAATCTTTGTTGCCTTTATCTTAACATTTCAGCTACTTTTGATTTGAGAGCCTATCAGATTTGATAACCTTTGTAAGCTAATTCATACAGTCTTGCATCTTTGTTTTTATTACATTTTGGTTGTTGCAATTGGCTTCTCATAAGAATTTGTGACATACCTTTGTGAAGTTGGAACAGATCTCCTTATTTTATCTTGTAGAGGTCTGAACTATTAGTCTCTTTCCTTAATGTTGTACCTCCCTGGAATTTTAGAAATAACAGCTAAGAAATTTTGCATAGATTTTTGAGACAAGATATTAATATTATCCATTGATTTGTTTGGAACAGTTGTTTCATCTTTGTCATAATTTTTAAGTCATTGTTTTTTCAAGCAAACCTGATAAGAAAGACTTAAAGAGTTCTGCAGAATTCTGGAGAAGGAAAATCCTCATGTAACCTAGTGGAAAATAAGAGGATTAAAAGAAACAGATTGCATGCTAAATTTAAAAAAAAAAAACTCAGTTAATAATGCAGACATAGAAATGAAGACTCCACAAAGGCCACTGATAATAAGGAAAAGAAATAGGTTGGGGGCTCCAAAATCCAAAAGCCCGAGTAAAATATGGCCGAGTAGACAAAGATACTTACACATTTATCTCATTCTCAGGAAATCATGAATTCAATCCTTGTGCCAGGAAGAACAAGAACACACCAGTTTTATAGAAATACTGAATGATTGTCATTTCCTTAGAAAAGTGTTTGATATTTTCTGTTTATAAATCTAAAGATATTTTAATCAATCAAAACTCATTGTTTTCAGCTAATGAGGACAAATATTTTGTTTTGTATTTTCCTCTTTTCAAGAAACATTGTATTTAATCTTTGTATTTAATCTTTGTTTATGTATGTGGTGAGAATGAAAGGAAATGAACATAAGGAAAAAAAAGTTATAAAGAACACCAAACATGATAAAATACTAGGAATGTGTGCAGTATACTCTTCTATGCCATATCCCTTCAGGACATGGGTGCTCGTGGCTCTCTATAACTTCCCATCCCTCATATCCCTCAGCATTATTTATCCATTTACCAAGCCTCCTCCTCAATTTTCCCATCGTAGGCTACTGTTTCTTTTTGTAGTAGACTGGAAGCCAACCAAGGCTATAGGGCCCAGTTTGTCCTGCTATTAAAACCATAGTTTGCTGGAGAAGATATGGATTTATATCTTTTCCAAGAGTATTTACATGTAAATGAAAATAACTAACCTTACTGGAACTCAAACTTGGATCTCCAGTTTCTCATTCCGAGCTATTATCCATTATATCCCACTGCATATCTATAACATAAATTCTAAAAAATAATAAAAGATTTAAATTTATTTAAAGCAGTAACAGTTAAGAAGATGGAACATGTATTCAGTCTTAACTCTTGAAATTGTGCAGTAAGCCAATAAGACCCGTTTTTAAACATTAAATGACTATTAATTCTATTTGGCAAACGAATTTGTTTTTATGCTGAAGCTCTCTTGATATCAAGTTATTTCTTTATCTTTGTTGATTTTTCAAGTTGTATTTTGATCTTCTTTTTGACTGTGGAGGCATGATAGCCATCTTCTGCTTTCTTACAATCATTAGATAAGCCCAACTGCTGGCTTGTGTCAGATGTCATAATGAGTTTATCAAACAAACCAATGACCTGTAACAATAAAGACCTTTTTTGTCTTTATTCAATTTACACATTGGAATTTGTGTACTCCATTTAAACTTTGAAAACATTAATACCTTAGTTATCTAATCAAAATAAACTCTAATTTTCTGCAATTAGACAATCATACTTCAGTTTCATGTTATTTAATAACAGACCTGTAGGCCCACCAGTGTGTGAACATGCCCTGGTGCCTATGAACCAAACCCCAGCTATGGGTTAAATAGCCCTACCCGCCTTGTGGAAATCTTTAGGAGAAGGAAAGGCCAAGAAGTAAAGCCTACATAAATCCAGAGTGGAGCCCCTAAGGCAGATAGATGGCACTTTGTGCTACCTTCCCACAATTGCAGCCGCGCTGGTACCAAACTGTATTGGTTTATCATCTCATTTGGACTCTGCTAGCAAGTCCGAGAGAGGGAACTAAATGTCCGGGCAGACTTGTCTTCCATACATCCTGTCCAGGCTCGTAGCACATTGGAGAGGAGACTCCAGCAACATCGCAAGACATCGGTACAACACAGGAAGTGACAGTTACCAGTCAAAAGCCCAACCCAATTGACATAGGCTACGGACGCCTGGGGTCACCTCCATCAGTGGGAGAGATCATCACATCTCACTGGACAGCTACCAGCCAGTAAGGTGCTGTCCGGCCACAGCTTGCCTGCTCTACTGGGTGTATAGGGCTCAGGGACTGATCCACCTGACAAGCAAGCTGTAAATCCTGCACCAAGCAGAAAAGAAAGAAACACGAAGACTCCAGCTCTTCGATTTGCTAGCTGGAACATCCAGATCATGTGCCACGGACTTGCAGATGACATCCAAGAGATTGACGATGCTCAAAAGACCGTGGTCATAAACAGGGAACTCTCAAGATTGGGTATTGACATCGCCTGTCTGTGAGAGACTCATCTGGCTGACAGTAGTTCCATCAGAGAGGCCAACTACACCTTCTTCTGGCAGGGCCTGCCTCAGGATGACCCAAGGCAACCTGGCATAGGCTTCGCTGTGAGCAACTTGCTGATAGCAGCCATTGAAACACCAACTGGCGGATCTGAGAGAATCCTAGCACTGCACCTCTCAACATCTACAGGTTTCGCCAACGTCCTCTGCATCTACGCACCAATGCTCTGCCCCACCCCAAAGGTCAGGGACCAGTTCTATGAGGCATTGGATGAGACAATATTCAGGAACCCCAAAACTGAAGGATTATACCTACTAGGAGACTTCAATACTAGAGTGGGAGCTTACTGTGACACTTGTCCCTCCTGCCTCGGTTGTCAGGGCATAGGCAGGATGAATGAGAATGGACAGTGGCTGCTGGAACTGGGCTGCCACCACGGACACCCCCGTTCTCGACACTGGCACCAGCTCGACCTTGTCCTCACCAGGCATGCAAACCTAAGAAGTGTTCTTCACACGAGGAGCTTCCACAGCGCATACTGCAACACAGACCACTCCCTAGTAGGCTGCAATGTGAGACTGAGAGCCAAGAAAATACATTGCTCCAAAACCAAGGGCCTCCCTCGCATCAACACCTGTTGCTCCAATGACCCTGAGAGTTCTCGCCACTTCCAAACCACCTTTAGCACGCAGGTTGACACATCCTCCTTCAGTGCTACTGACATCGACAGTAGATGTCACCACCTCCTTCATGCCATATACATCTCAGCCCTTACTGCGTTCAGGAAGAAGGATCGTCAAAATGCAGACTGGTACAAAGCTCACTGGGATGAAATGCAGCCAGCCTCTGAGGCCAGGAGTCACTTTTGGCCTACAAGCAAAACTCTTGTATCAATACCTGCGATGCCCTCAGAGTTGCTTGCAGCAAGGCTCAACAGACTACACGCCACTGCACCAACAACTACTGGCAGAACCTGTGCAGCAGGATCCAGATGGCTGCCAACAGTGGAAACGCAAGAGGCATGTACGCTGGCATCAAAACTGCCACCGGTCACACTCCCATCAAGACTGCTCTGCTGAAGTCCAGGGCAGGAAAGGTCATTACAAACCAGGGCAAGCAGCTGGACTGCTGGGTGGAGCACTACCTGGAGCTTTATGCAACTCAGAACATGGTGACGGATGCTGCTCTGGATGCCTTGCCCAGTCTCCCAGTCATGGAGGAGTTGGATGCCTCGCCCTCTGCAGAAGAACTCGGAAAAGCCATAGACTGTCTCTCCTGCGGGAGGGTCTCTGGGAGGGACAGGATCCCATCGAAGGTTCTGAAGAATGGCAAGCCAGCTCTGCTGCAGCATCTCCATGAGCTCCTGTGCTGTGCTAGGAGAAGGGCCATGTCCCCCAGGACATGCAAGATGCCAACATTGTCACTGTTTATAAGAATAAAGGTGACCGCAATGACTGCAATAACTACCACGGCATTTCTCTCCTCAGCGTTGTCAGGAAAGTCTTTGCCCATGTTGTCTTGCCATGCCTGCAGAGCCTCACCTCCCCTGTGTACTCCAAGTCACTGTGTGGCTTCAGGGCGGGCCGATCTACAGTGGACATGATCTTCTCGCTGCGCCAGCTGCAGAAGTGCCGTGAGCAGCAGAAACCACTGTATATCGCCTTTATTGACCTGACAAAAGCTTTCGACTTGGTCAGCAGAAGCGGACTCTTCAGCCTCCTGGAGAGGAAGGTAGGATGTCCTCCAAGACTGCTCCAGATGGTCAAGTCCTTCCATGAGGACATGCACAGCATATTCTGCTACAACAGTGGAGCATCTGACGCCTTCCCAGTAATCAGCGGCATAAAGCAGGGCTGTGTCCTCGCGCCGACACTCTTTGGGATCTTCTTTTCCATGCTTCTCCAGTACGCCTTCTGCGACTGCACAGAGGGCATGTACATCCGCACTAGAGCAGACAGCAAACTCTACAACATCACCCGACTGCACGCTAAGACCAAGGTCCATGAGGTCTTCATTCATGACATGCTGTTTGCCGACGACGCTGTGCTAACATCCCACATGGAGGATGGACTGCAAGAATTAGCCAGCAGCCTGGCCCATGCCTGCAAGGAGTTTGGCTTGACTATCAGCCTCAAAAAGATCAACATCCTGGCACAAGACATCTCCTCCTCCCCGGACGTTGCCATCAATGGCATGCACCTCGAGGTGATGGACTCCTTCACCTACTTCGGGTCGATCATCTCCAGCTCTCACTCCCTGGACACTGAGATCAGCTCCAGGATAGGGAAAGCTGCCGCAGTCATGGCCAAGCTAAACAAGCGCATCTGGAACAACAGCCAGCTGAGAGAGAACACCAAACTACAAGTCTACCGAGCATGTGTCCTCAGCACCTTTCTGTATGGCAGCGAGTCCTGGACAACTTATGCAAGTCAGGAGAAAAGGTTAAACACCTCTCACCTCTGCTGCCTCGGACGACTCCTGCACATTAAGTGGCAAGACTGGGTCATTAACACAGAGGTCCTTCAATGTGCCGGCATCCCAAGCCTGTTCACGCTGCTCTGGCAAAGATGTCTGAGATGACTGGGGCATGTACACCGCATGGGTGCCAGCCGCATCCCAAGAGTCATCCTGTATGGGGGTTCCCACCCAACTGAAAGACCTCAGCTCTGCTTCAAGGATGTCTGGAAGTGAGATATGAAACTGGTTGACATCAACCCCAACACCTGGGAGGCCGCAGCTGATGATTGTCAGCTTTGGAGAGCCACAGTCAGTGACGGCGTCATGATTGCAGAAGCCGCGAGGGAAGATCAGCAAGCAGCAAAAAGAGCGTGGAGAAAATCAAAGACAGCCTCCGTCTCCGTCTCATCCAGTTTCATCTGTGCCAAGTGTCTGAGAGACTGCCGCTCCAAAGTGGGACTACACAGTCACCAGAGGCGGTGTAACTCCATCGCCTAGAATTTAAAAAAAAAAAAAATATAAGCGCTACTCCCTCATCTCCCAAGACGGACTGATGCCGAACCGAATAACAGACCATTTCATTTACTTTGTATGATAAAGCACCGTTAAAGGAGTTAAATTTGTTAAAAAAGTCCTGTGATGTGAGATGCTTAACCAGTTTAAGATTGATCAGGGCCTCTAAGAGTTTAACAAAAAGAGGTAGAATGCTAAGAGGCTGATAGTTTGAAGTGTTAGACAGTTCACCTCATTTCTTAAAAACTGGAATAACAGATGAGGATATCCAGCAGACAGGAAAGCAAGAGGTAGCAAGGCACTTATACAGTTTAGAGAGAACAGGAGCCAATTCAGGAGCACAATGACTATTACAGGGATACCATCGGGCCCACATGATTTGTGGGGATCCAGATTAGAAATGATAGCAGAAATCATAGAAGGGGTTATATGCATATCACTCAACAGAGACACAATTCTAAATGGGAAGTTAGGCAGTGACATTCCAGATGAGTAGGATTTAACGGGAATTTGTAGATGAAGCATTCAGCTTTATCAGCAGATGATGATAATACCTCAGATTGATGGAAGAGAGCAAGAATAGAAAACATATTTAATAGACAATTGCAGAGCCAAATTTTTAGATGCACTACAGTGCCACAAACAGAGACTTTACCTCCTTCAAGGATTCGTTTACATTTATTATGCGCAGCAATGAACAGGAATCTGTTGTGGTGGGAGCTGTTGCACTGTTATAGCTGAAAATAGTGGGCTATAGTAGCAGAACATTCTCATGTGAATGATGGAGAAGATTGAGGTTTCACCTGGTGTTTCTGAGAAGGGATGAAAGCATCCATGTTGGTTTTGACCTAAGAGGAAATCTCTGTGTCGCAGTTCTCAATCTGAAGGTTAAAGATGTCAGCCTAGGGGGGCATCACAAAGAAAATCACTGAATGAATTCAGGTAATAGAAAAAGGTATTACGAATAGGAGGTTCCTGATTAGATGATTGGAATGAAATATTAATAGATACTAAAGTGTGACCAGAGTTTCCAAGAGGACAGTGTTGCAAAGCTTGGCAAGTGCGAAGAGAGGAGGTGAGAAAAATTGAAGTAGAATAGACTGTTGCTTGGGAAATTGGTAGTGAAATTCATAATTTGAGTCAGGGATTGAGTAATGGAAAATAGTTAATGTCTGAATACCAGTAACATTAAAATGTTTGTGACATCTCTTGGTGTGCATTAAAATCACCTAAGATAAAGATGTTTGCAGATAGATGAAGAGAGAGTGCCATTTCTATACTGTCAGAGATTGTGTTTAATACACTGCAGTCATGAGAAGAGGGAGAACAACAAAGGAAAAAGAGATAGCTGACAGTGTAATAATGAAAAACAAAAACACATGTGGGAGTTTCTTGGGGTCTGGAGGGACAATTCCTTTACCATCAGAAGATTATCCCAGATGTAAACATCCAGAACATGCATGTGATTATTGGACTCTTTTTGGCAAAGGGTGAGATAGCCTGGAACGGAGTATTTATTGGTACCAATGAGAGAAGTTTCTTTTGCAAGGTGGTAAGATATCTGACAGCCACTCCATGAGAAATAATTAAATACTGCCGAAGTTGGAATACCATGAACATTGGTGAAAGAAAGGTAGGGGCAGGCATACTGGTTTTCTAGTATTTCATTGTATTTGTCACAAGATTTGTGTTGGGGAGAAAAGGCCAACATCACTATCTATCATTAATGGCAATACAAACCAGTCACAGCTGGCTGAGAACAGAGCATAATTTGGCCTCAGGGTTTCCTACTGGAAATACATGCCGGAGCACCTATCCATGTGCAACATAACTCTACAAACACCCTGATATTATGTGACTGTTGATCAGAACATCCTCTCTAAGCATTGCCTAATGACCAGTTGGAAGCAGCAGCCAGCAAACTGACAACCCAGTACCCTTATAATAGAAAGTCACAGCCACTGTCTTGTCTGATCACCAAAAAGTTAAATCATTAAGGCCCTGAAAGAAGAAAGAAAGAACTGGTAAACTATATCTTGAGCAGGGGACAAGGGATGATCCTCTACCCACTGTTCAATAGATATGGAAACAGTGTGGGTGGGATGAGAGGTGAGCCTGTCTACTCCTATTATCCTGCTTGTAGCACAGGAGGCTGAGCAATTTTATTGGGCCACTAAATTTAAGAAGGTTGCTGAATAAGACTGTCGATCCCAACCAGGGTGAAGGGGACTACCGGATAATTAAATCATTCTGCGGGAATTGAGGGTATCTCAGAAAACAATTTTAAGGGAAGGAATTATATGACTAAACTACAAGAAGATAGATCATATTAAGTTTTAACTTGTAACAAGTTCTGATGTTTCTTTCCAATAAAAAAAAAAAAAATTGGGCAGGTGATTAATTCAAAGAAATCCAGTAAGCATGAAATTTAGACGTGCAAAGTTAGTTCTTGGCAGTTTTTTCCAAAAGTTCAGAGCATGGCAAGAATATTTTGCTCGACACTTACAGAGTTGAATTGAAATTTTTCAATCCAGCTTGAATAGATACCAAGTAGGTGGAGACAGGGCAACATTTGGGTCAGAAACACTGTATCAGCCAGAGACCTAAGGTACCAAGACAAGTTTGCTCTTATGCATAATGACAAAAAGGCTCAATTGGGCATTGAGGGAGTTGTTTTTAAACCTGCCTACCAGCCTAGAGAGCAACAACTATGAAAGAAAGTATACTTCCCAACAGAAACTGAGCTTATGTTTTTCTCTCTCTCTTTTTTTCTTCTTTTGTTTTCAGTCAAGGAAACCCCTTTTAAGCTCTGCTCTGCACCTTATGGCTTCCTATGGCCTAATGGCAGAACATATTTAAGTGATTTTCCTGACTGACAAAGCAATTTATGCTCAATTCTTCGTTGGACACAGATTCTTGGAGTAGGATTTCTTGATCTCTAGTAGACATTATTTACAGGAATGTCTACACAGACATGTATACTCACTAAATTTAATGTTTATTTATGGTCATAAGAAATAACAAATTAAAAAAAAATCCTTTGATTGCTTAAAAATTCCTCTATGTGCTCTCAATAAGATTTCAGAAAGATTTCATAATCGATCGGTGA